TCGAAAAATAATTAAATAAGGGCAGCTGTCATACCCCAAATTTGACCCATCAGATAATCATTTTATGTTACTATTTTTCAAATCCTTAAGTCATATGGTTCAAATTATTTGTTTTGAGTATTGTAAATTAGGGGTTTAAATATTAATATGAGGGGTGTGTTGCCTTAACGGACCACCAAAATATGATTGCCCATTAAGACATTTTTTGGCTTGGTTATAAACAGTAAGAAGGGGGTGTGTTTGTTAAGGGTCCATGGTTGTTTTTAATGGCCCATTAACATGTAATGGCCCAGTTAAAAATTATTGTTCAGAAGAGGTAGGGGTGCATTTTTTTTCTTCTTTGATCAAAATTGATAACTCATCAAAGGGGTGTGTTTTTGAGTTATTTAGCCCATTAAGATATGTTGTTCTTAAAACCTGTTTAGAATAAGTAAAAAGAAAGGGGGTTTCTTTCGTTGCTTGTTAAAGGCCCATTTTTGACACAAAAGCCCATATGCGCAGTATTTGAATTTCAGTAATTATTGTAGTCATATTTATATTAATTGTATATTAACTATTTTTATTATCATTTTCTTATATTTCGTTGACTTTAGTCAAAATTAGGGTTTCAACCCCTAATTTACAACCAAGCCCTGCAACATTGTTGTTCTTCTTCACAAACGAGAGGTCCAAGCCCAAACATAAAAAAAATGCACACTGTACAGATCCAACAAAGAGAAACACTTACAGAACTAAAACAAAACAAAATCTTCATTGGATCAAATCAAATCTGGAAAATTAATGTTTATGTTTATTCACTAAAACGAACTTATACAATAACAAGTCCAAATACAATTTACAAAACCCTAACCTCAAACAAAATCTTTCTAAATCAATCACTAAATCAAATCAAATTCCTAAAACAGAATAAAATTTTCTAATTCCTAACAGATTACAAAAGTAACGATAATCATAAATTATTTTCCTAATCTGTCTAAAACCTAATCTGTGTCTAAAGCTAGAAATTTCTAAGAGAAAAGAGAGAGGAATTAGAGAGAAGAAACAAAAACAGAATCCACAAGCCAATTGCTTCCTTGAGATATGGGCTTCAATTTATGAAATCCTAGACCTGTACTTTGAACCGTGACTCCATAATCTTCGCCGTTGTCATCGTTCTTCGTGTCTGCAGTAAAAAAAGTGGAAGAAGATTAGACATAAGGAGATAAAGTCAAAAAGGAGCGGATACGACAAGATTCTCTGCATTAGACATAAGCCTAATACTTAGCTTATGGTTTTAAAATTGTTGTTATAATGCTTGCATAATTGTTATTCATTATTTTGCGTTGCTAGATTTGTATGGGGTTTCTGGGTTTTTAGGGTTAGAGTTCTAACTTAAGGTTAGGGTTCTTCATCTAGGGTTAGGGTTCATACGGTTTTGGGTTAGGGTTCGTCAGACTTTGGGGTTTCTGGGTTTTAGTTGATTAGGGTTACTCACAAACCCTTAGGGTTTTTAGGGTTCTAAGGTTTTTGGGGTAGTGGACGGTAGTTTCTGGGTTGGTGTATGGTGGCTCAAATGAAGATTTGAATGAAGGGGGTGGTGCCCTAGAGCAGCCACCGACGTAAGCGATTTTCGATCGGCGGCATCCAAGGCGGGACAATTTCTGGCGTGGCATACTTCTAGAGAGAGGTTAAAGTCTCTCTCTTTAGAAACATATAAAGGTTTTGTGTTTTGGGAGTAGAGAGAGAAAAGAGGAAAAATGAGGTTCAGCGTTAGGCCTGGGTTTTTATAAAACCCTCGTGGATTTTTGTCTGTGTTCCCAACGTCCTACCGTGTGCTTTCAATCATCACCATACGATTTCAATCGAACGTACCAAATTCCACACCCTCATTGCTATACGGTACGCCCTCCCACACCCTGCCTAAACGGACCCCATGCTATTTTGGGCCTAAGCCCGTGATACTCACACCCCCAGTTTGGTTGTTTTTTGCTAAGTCAACTTAAATTTCACCCCCTAGCATTGTTGGGCCAAGTCCAACATCTGGACTTAGGCCCTTGCTGATTAAGCCTCCTATTTTTGCTGACTTGAACAAAACAACACCCCCTCTGCGTTTGGGTCTGACTTCAACATCTGAATTCAGATTCCTACTTCCCATACCTCATTGTTTTACTACCTCAATACAAAATACACCCCGCTGTGTTTTTTTATTAAATTTCTTTTTTTTATAATTATTTTTTTATAATTTAATATATTTATAAAATCTAATTTTATTTTACTATTATTATAAAATTTAAATATTTTTCTACTAACTCATAATTATTTTTTTATTGCATTAAAATTATTTTTGAACATGCATTAATCAGATGTTTTATATATTAATACGTTTAAAAAATACTTAACCAACACTAAACTCTTTTTTTAAAATAATTTAATTAATTTAAAACAATTTTTAAAATGGATTATGAAAATACGTTAAATCGACTGCGAATTTCGTCTACAAATTCCGCTATTCACATACCTAGACTTGGTTCAAGGAAAATCTGAAATATCTTCGTAATCTATAAAAAACACCAACCAACTGCGAACTACGAATTTAGACTTTAATTCCTCGTAAGAGGATACGTAGGCATACAATTAAAATCGTGGCGAATTCCCCTAATAAAAAATTAAAACCCTATTTCTCAAAGATCGCGTTTCTAAACCCTAATATCCTTGTGAACAAGGTAGATGAGGAGTGTCTAACACCTTTCATTCGTCTAAAACGAGTCAAACAACTTAAAATCTGTGATAAAATTAGAATTATCATTTATATCTCCTTTCTTAGAATAAAAATTAAGAGTGACGACTCTAAATTTTCAAATCAGTTACAACAACATGACTAAGAGGCACACTTATATATATGATACAATTATAACTATTTTGATTGGTCCCAACAAGTGTAGGTTACCCTTAATGTGAATAAGAGGAAGGTCGCACTCCTTTGTGGCTGTCAAAGTTGAAAGTCTACATATACGCTAGTAAATGTAGTGGTCTTCTCGAATTGAACTTGTGATTTGGGTCAATTTTAATAGAGTTTTTGTCAAGTCGAAAAAAAATTAATTGTTATTTATATTTATATTTATATTTATAATTATAATTAATTTCTATACATTATTTATTAAAAATATTTTTATATTAGCAATTAATTAGGATGGTCAAATAATCCAAAATATTTAACTTTTATTGTAATTACTTATGAAATCATAGATATAATGATTGTGATTTGCTACCATGTATCAAAAGTATTTCTTTATTATTTAGATTAAATATTATTTTATCATTTAATAAGTACTGTGATTTATTTTAAGTTTTGATTAAAGTTTTAGTGTATGTTTGATTTAGCGAGAGAAAATAAAAAAACACGACGAAAAGTTACGGTAGCATAAAACTACTACACTTTGTAGTTTCTAATTTTCACTGTAAAATGCTCTTCAGACATGCGGTGGTGGTGGAAAAATAGTTAATCCAAGATCTTTAGCTTAATACTAATTTTATATTATTTCAATAATTAGTTTTTGTTTGTTTTTGGGCCCACAAACATACCCATGTTACTCAAGTTAGTCATTTATGTTAATTTTTTAACGAAAACGTTAACTTTTATGTTACTCAAATTAGTTATTTATGTTAATGTTTTTGTTAAAACATTGACTTTGTACCTGTAACATAATGTAACACATGACATAGCAAATAATCTTAGACATAGATAAAATGACTAAACAATGTTTAATCTAACTTAGCGATAACTTGACATTGAACATTAATAACTTTTTTTATTATTTTATTTTAACATCTTTATCGTCTTCATCATCATCATCTTTATATATTTTAATAGTTAAATAAAATCAAATCAAATTTCTAGAAGTTCCAAATTAAAAATTTAAACCAAACAGATCAAACAACAATCAAAACCCATAAAAAATTCTTTAACAAACTGGGGAAAAAAGCTTAAATCTGGTTAACCTGGATCATATTTTATTTTCATTAATACTATGTCAGTATCTTAAAAAATAATATTACTTGAGAAATAGATATAATTTTTTTTTAATATAGTTAATGTTCATGTAAAAAAATACAATATGTTAGAAGTTTTTCAACATAAAAGCGCTGTCATAAATCTGTTAGAAGCTCCATAATATAAATAGTTTTGCAAAATCTATATCATATTGTGATTCCGCTAAACCAACGTCTACTGTCTGTCATAACTCATAACAGTAAATCCAAATAAGCACTAGCGGCAGGGCGGGTGAATAAGTCAAAACTTGAATTCTGAAGGTACACAACTCACTGGATAAGAACCTAGATTTCAACATCCGATGAAATCAAGATTCTGATTCCAAAAGTTAGACAACCTAGAACAGCCTGAAAGACAACCAGGCTAAATGCACTTAGAACTCAGCCCCTCGGGTAGAGGTACCAATTTATTAATTACTATAATCAAATGAAAGGCATTGTCGATTGGTGCACTGCAGTTATATATGCCAAACTTCTCTGTAAATCAAGACAGAAAAAATTTCATTTAAATGAGACCACTCTTACCCTTATCTGACATTATACATAAAATTTAGATAAATAGAAACCTTTACTGCATAAATAAAAACTAAAAGTGGATGTGAGATAGAACACACACTTTTCGAATGTGTAGTTTTACACTGCTTTCTTCTATCTTTCATATCCATTATCCCAGAGAGGCAAAGACCTCACTACATCTAACTACTAAACAAAGCGAACTAAATTAGGCTATGCTAGCACTAGCAGCAACTATGTATCTAATTTAGCATTATTAATTAACATTGGGGACTAGTGAACATATAACAAATCACCTCTTAGCATGAGTTGACGAGCAATGAAACTTGTCACACAATATGACTCGGTCACAAGACTGACAGTAAAAAGTAAGTGATCATTGTATCGGCATCTTTCCAATACAGGCAAATCTGAGCACTTCCTTTGAAGACCGAGTTTACTTTCTACCTTAAACTCTTTCACCACCACGGAGATAAAAGCATGTCCGTATCATCATTAAATGGACTAGGATCTGGAGATGGTATATTCAGTTCAAATGGCAAAACACTATCAGTTGCCATTGGACCAGTTTCTTTACCCGAAAGCCAGTTTTCAAAATCAACAATCGTATTAGGTGTACGAGAACTTTCATTTACCGGTTCAACAGTTTCAATTAAGTGGGTACTGAACTTCTCCACATTTGGAGGTTGGTTTGTAGATCCCGAGGTTTGTAGAGGAGAGCATTCAAATACAGGTTCAGTGCTTTGATTGATATTCTCAGCCCAACTTGAGTCTACAGCAGAAACTCTCTCGGCAGTTATAGCTGGATTTTGTTCTTGTGGCTTTGGTTGGCAAGTATCTTGACTTGTAACTCCACATAGTGTAGCATCATTACCCTGAATACAAGTTTGAAGGATATTCTGGCTATTATTTGATTGGGATAATGATGGGCCATATGGGGGTTCAGGAGTCCTGTTATGTGGATTGACACGACCAAGACTGACTGGTCCTAAGCTTGAATGTGAGAAGATTGATGAATTCACGAGATTTGAGAATCCTGTAGTTACATGAAAATCCACAGGGTGTTGTCCTCCATTAACATGAATGTTAAAGTCAGACGAACCATGAGATGAATGATTAGCTGCCAATATTCCCTCCAAACTTCCTACACCCCCCTTGGACATCATAGGAGAACGGAGGAACTGTGGTCCTAAACTACTTACACCCCTTCCTTGCCCCCTTTGGATGGCATGATTGCGCACACCCAGCAGTTGCTTTGGAACATAGTGAGGCCGGTTTCTGTCTCTCGGCAAATTAGATCTTGATAGAAGAAATCTACCATGGTTTGCACCATTTGGGATTGTTAGATTGCTGGCTTTGGAGACAGGCGTATAAGTTGGTCTAGAGATCTGATTCTGCCTAACAGAATTAAGTGAGAACTGGGCATATGTTGCTTTTGGCCGAGAGACCTGATTTTGAGGTATGTAGTTGAGTGAGGGAGTGGGCACTGCAGATGATCTGGCTGCTTGATTCCGTAACACAGAAATCGGAGACAAGTGAGTAATATCACAAGGAAGATTTTCGTTACTTTGAGAACGTACCAAACCAAGTGAAGTACCATACTTAGTTGAAGCTGGTAAAGGGGAACTCAGGGTCCGCTTGAAATCTTTCCTCTGAATTTTCCACAACTCAGTTTTGTCATTTGCATGACAATGATCTGAACTCGAAATGCCAGTTCCCCACTTTAGACATGGTGCTAGGGTATCGCAAACATAACAGTGGCACTGCATATCATCAATAACAAAAATTAATGAGTGACAGAAAGGATAATGTTCAGAGTATCAAATAACACAAAATTAACAGTAATAATTAAAAAAAGCTAAAGCAAATTTGAATTTAAACATAGTCAAAGTGTGACATTTAGTTGTTTTTTTACCAGGCCACAATGTTTCTCATGAGGGGTGGAAGAGAAAGGAAGTTTAGCACAAAGATGTCGGGCATGAGGATAGTCTCTACAAGCAATCTGCAAGTCAAAAAATAAAATAAGTCGATATCTGAAAAATAAAGGGCTGCATCTTCTTGCAAAACGCAAGGAAAAGCGTTAAAATACTAAATTTGGGAAGATGAATAAACAACTACAAAACCAGAAGCAAAATAGCAAGCTGCACTAGAAACAAATGCCACAACTAAGGAATAAGTCCTAGTTTGAACATAGAGCTTGCATTCCCAATTATACTTCTTAAAATGTATGAGGATCATCTACAAAAACTATATTTTCCATATAATGTGGATACATAGCTAGTAACATTTGACCTTACCTTAGGGTCTCCAGTTTCAATTTTAGAAGACAGGTTTATTTATAAAGCATTTTTGCATAAACAGTAGCCAAGACGCATGTCAAAGGATCAAAGTCTTCTTCGACCTTTTTGAACATTTTCTTCAGCCATGCATGTTAACTTTCCTCAGGTGGTAAGTAATTGCACACCCTGCAAGAATTAGCCATGAGGCTTACCTTGGCAATGGTGTACTCATGTACCTTCTTGAGGCAAATTGACACTTTAATAGAAAGTACTTCCTCACTTCCAAAAGAACAATCAAAAGCACACACATGATAGTTTAGAGATACAATCCAAGATGTTTAGTTTAAATATACAAACAAGCAGGTGAAATTCCCTTTTTCATTTCATCATGAACAAAGACAATCTACACTGAAATCAAGTATCACTACAAAAGTACATTGTCAGTGTTGACAATCACAGATCATAGAATTTAGCTGTTTGTTCAAACTCCGCTATGCTACAGTACTATAATGCCTCTATTTGATAACTCTTTGTACTAAATAGTGTATTGAAAAACAATAAAGACTTGTTCAAATTCCATTATTCTATAGCGGCATAGTGCCGCTATCTGACAATACTGTACTTTGTACACACATGCAATTGCAATTCCTATTACCAAATAACACAAGTTGGGTTCACATTAAACCTCATCATAGCAATAACATGACTATTATTTACCTTTCCCAAAAACAACACAAAGATGATAAATAGACCCAAGGACATACCTGACCCTTCTCACCAACTACAACCAACTCATCTGACCCAGTTGCATCCTCATCATCGAGAGAAGTGACACCATTTTCAGGGTCATCTTCCAGAACCAAACAATCATCATCATCACCATCATCAACATCTTTCACAGGCAAAGTTGAAGATCTTGACTTCAACTCAGATGGTTTGTTCTCATGAAGGAAGACAACATCAGAATCACCATCAGATTCATCTCCAGAATTAAATAGCAACTCTTCAATCCAATCCAAATCAGTATATTTGGATCCCTCTTTCACATCCTCTTCTTCATCAGAGCTTATATCAACCACCACAGGCATGCCTTCAACACTACATAAAAAATAATCAATTCAAACAACAGAAGCAAAAAAACTAGGGTTACTTAAAAAAAAACTCAAAAAGTGGAAAAATTTAGAGCAACCTCGTACGTAGGTTATGCAAATTATGACATAAAAACAGCGAAATGTGAAAATTGGATCAAATTGGCACTGAAATATATGAGATGATCGTGCCCTAGAGAGTAATTGAAACAACCTTTACCCTTCTAATTATGGAGAAAATTAAACGGGTAATTGTGTAATAGATTGGTTTCAAAGAGTCAAAAGGGGTTGAAGGAGGGATTGATGACTTGATTAGGGTTCTGAAATTTTGGATTTTCACATAATTTCTTCAAGAAAGAAATTGCAACGCCGTGAGAATTGGGACAAGAAGGAGAGAGGGTTCTTTGTGTGCAGTGCAAAAATAAGAGTAATGTTATAATTTTCCTATTTTTTTATTTTATTATATCATATTTGAAAAAATAGATGACGTGTAAAATCATTTTATATTATTATTCAATCATCATCATATATTAGAATAAATTATTATTTTATTTCAAAAGGAATTTAATGAATAAAAAACTTATAATGTGTAAAGTGTAAAATTTTATGCATTCGTGAATCACTTTATCATACTAAGTTTTTAAGATTAATTTCAAAAATATTTCAATAAATATTAATTTGGTTTGACTTAGTCGAATGCATATACAAAAAGTTTTACACTAATACATGAATATTAATCTCACAATTTAAAATTACAAAAATAGATAGATTTTAACTAAAGTTACTAGTAGGTGAATCAAATAGAAAAAAAAAAGTAAAATAAGTTATTACAGAATCTGAGTTAGTTATGACTAAGGTGTATACATTTTTTAATAATAAATGTTATATAGAAAGAAATAAATAATAATATTAATATTTTGTAAAAAGTAAACAAAAGATATAATATACTATGAATTACAAGTTGTTTTTATCTAGATCATCAATATAACATATCAGACAATTCAAAGTAAAAATTGTGTTGTTTTCGTTAAAACAAGTTTAATAGTTGATTTAAAATTGAATATCTTAGATTAATTACAAGTCACAACTTTTTGTTTGGTGGTGATGGTGCATCGTGTGGCCTCTTACAATGTTACCATAGGGAGATAATAATCATGAGGTCAAACGTAATTACACATTCGTGACATTAAATATTGTTGGATCAAATTTGGACAATTCAAATATAAGTATAGTAATTTAAATTATAAAATTAAAAATAAAATATGTATTTTGTAGAATCATCAAATCTAATTCTTATTAACATTTTGAATATGTGAATTTGTAAATTTTTAAATGTAAGGAATCCAATTTAAATTTGAGGCATTGGAACGAAAGGGGAATTTTATTAACACAAAAATATCTAAAGAACACATAAATCAACGAATGGTAGAATTTAAAAAATGAAGAATAAAAATAAATATATAAAAAGCAAACCTGATTTACTTGATTAAGAATTAAAGCTATTGATTGTTTGGAAAGTCGATCAACTCTAGAATGTTTGTGTATAAAGATTTGTGACTGCAAATAGAAGATTTCAAAATGGTTTGATATAACCAATGCATAGATGTTCCATCCATGCTAGTCCTATTTATAAATAAAAAATAGGCGTCATGAAAATAAAGAATCCTTAAAAGATAACTAAATTATTAGTTTAAGAAATATTTTAGAAATTGTTCTAGAGTTTTAGGTGATTGGTAAAAGTTTGACCATATCATTTTAATGGACAGCTCAAATTCTATATAAAATGTTTGAAAAATAATCATTAATATCATTTTAATCAATAATAACTAATTTCCTAATATATATAAAAAATGATATTTTAAAAAGATATTATTAAATGTTTTAAGTACATGCATACGGAGCCATTTATTTATTTTAATATTAAAATATAAATATAATTATTAATATATTAAAATAGAATATATATTTAAACGTTAAATTTTGAATAAAATTTATTCTAAATAATTTTTAATTATATTATTTTCTTTTCTTTTTCTAATAAATATTATTTAATATATTAATTAATATTTAATGTTATTTACTCCAGCTCATACTTCAATACTAATTTTTATATACTTTATTATTTAATAAACAAAAATTCTATAAAAATATTCTCATGTACAATATATATCTATAATTTATTATATGTATCGCATTAGGTGAAAATATTAATTATTTCGTTAAGTTATTAACTTAATTGATAATGCACAGGGACATCGTGTTATAACGGCATAGTCGGTAATTTTTCAAAATTGTTAGATAAAAAATAATTTATTTGATGTTTTATGTAGGATATTTTATGTTATTAGATAATCGAAATGGTTAAAAAAAATTCTTCAATAATTTAAATATTAAAATTCCATCCTATAAAATGAATCATCGTGATGCAATAACAATTATAAAAATTTTATTATAAAAAATACATAATAATTAAACTCTTCAATATTTAAGTCAATTATATAGGCATTGACAATATAAATTATTTATACATGTGCATTCAAATCACAATATATAGTTTTATATTTAACTAGAAAATTTGAAAGTGCTTTGTTATCACCATTACATAGATGTTGGATTCATGTTAGTCTCTCTTTATAAATAAATAAAATGATTGTTTTTCTAAAAGGTATGATTTACGTAAAATATTGTGAAAATAAAAGAATAAATGTCTTTATATAAAAGAATCGGTAAGGTATTTATTCTTTGAATGTGAATCTTTGGAGGTTGTCTGGATGAAAGTTTTAAGGTGGGTACAAATTTATCATACTGGCTTTTGCAACAAATTAAAGGAAAAGGAGTTAAGGTAACTGTCATTAAAATAGCAATATCTGAAATAATTTAAGGACTGTAAAAGATTAGAAACAACAAAAGTTTTGGTGAGAATGTTGCTACTACAAAAATAAGAAAGAAGATTATCGATACACTAGTGTACAAAGGGTGGAATAATAAGAAAATTAGAAATTATATAACTATCTTAATGATAGAAGGGTGATAGTTTTCTTTTCTTTTTTTGTCCATTTTAGTTCATTGATTGATTGTGGAGGAGTGCTGGATCCGGTTGGGATCGTTTGTATTTAATGAGTTTTTTTTAATCAACAGAGTATTAGTTTTTTTCAAAATAAAAAGAGTGGTTTAAAAATAAAAATAAAAATAAAAATAAAAGTATTTTAAAAAATATTTTATAAATCGTTCTAGAATTTTAGGTGGATGGTAAAAGTTTGACCATATCATTTAAATTTTTTAAATGATGATTCATATATAAAAAGAAAGGTGTTACAAAAACGATAGAGGAGACATCAACCAAGACCCTATCAGAAGGATATAAACCTAAAGAAAGGCAAATCGAGTCTGTTTTTTACAAAATCAGCCTTTAAGAAAGAAGGGATGGAGATAAAGTGAGTAGAATCTGTTAGAATAAGGCCTATATTAGCAAGGACATGTGCACAACTATTCCCTTCCCTAAAAATATGAGAAACCAGAAAACTTCAATTAGAGGCTATATTTATACAATTCACCCATCTATTTTTAATTTGCCACGACACTTTAAACAGAGATTTGAAAGCATTACCACCGCCATCGAATCAGTTTCTAACCAAATATTATGCCAGTTCCTCTCATAAGCGAACTCAATTTCTAAAATAGCACCGAAAAGTTCGGCCATTAGAGAGTTGGCCACGCCCAAAAAAGAAGCATACGCTCCCAAAAAACCACCATCGTTATTTCTCGCAATACCACCGTAAATAGAAAAACTAGAAGGAGAAATTGAAGCTCCGTCATAGTTTATTTTTATCCATTTTGTAGGCGAGGGTTTTCAAATGACCTCTATGATATTCGGTGCCCTCGGAGGATGAATAGTAACCTTGAATCTTTTGATAATAACAAAATCATACATACTCACATAAGAAGCCTTATAAGAATTCTCAACTAAAGACACAACAACAACAATAGAAGAAATGGAAGAGGAAAAAGAAGAGATGCTACTGTTAAATCTCATCTTATTCCTTGTTGTCCAAATAGCATTGAAAATGAATATAATAGTTGCCACGACTACAGTTTTCCATTGAATGGAGTACGGTCTGCTGCAAATGTCCCAAATATTGGGCCAATCGAGAATGGGAGCAGAGATATTCATATTGCTTAAAAACCAATCCCAAAGCTTAGAAGCATACACGCAATCAAAAAACAGATGATTGTTCGTTTCTTCCGCTGCGTTGCACAACTCACATTTGGAAGCAAACACAAAATTCCTATGTCTCTATTGCTCATTAGGCACTTTCCTATGTGAGAGCCTCCAAACAAAAAAAGATTTTGAAGGAGGAATTAACTTGGACCAAATCCAATGCCAACAATCCTTCCAAATGCCTTTTATCCTTTAAAACTCAAAAGCAGATTTGAAAGATAAATCACCATTCGGAGAGTGGATCCAAACTTTTTTATCCGGCCTAAGATCAAAAGGGACGATGCACTTATTGATCCGCAACTGAAGAGGAATGGGAATGATAGTGATAGACTTTGTGAAATCCCACATGTCATTAACAATGATGCTGCCAACAGTTTGATCCTCAATTAGATTTGGATATGCTATACCAATATACAGCGGCTCACCGTACCAAGCATCAAACCAAAGGCTGATTGACGAACCGTTGTCAAGCAACCATGAATAATTATCATCAATACAAGACATCTCTGATTTAACACTCGCCCAAATCGGAGAATAAATATGGTGCCTAATGATCTTATTTTGTCTAAAAACTCTCTGTCTCAGAAGAACTGCCCAAGATTCAGAGGAATTTACAAGCTCCCAAGCAAGCTTCAAATTAGAAGCTTCATTAAGCTTAATAAGCACCCTCCTCCGTTATGAGACACATGCTACTCCAAGCAACTGAAATCACTTTGCTTTTAGAGATTACCCCACTCCAAATGAAACTCTTTACTTCCCGCTCAATGCGACGAATGAGAGA